TCACGACTCATAGGAAAAATGTTACGCATATATGTCACATTGTATTTGAAAATGTTGTCGCTGATCATAATGGGTTCTATCAATGACATGGTGGCGTAGAGATGTTCATATCACATGCCTGTAAGGTAGCCTTATTCCTGTTCAAGCGCTTTGAACACACTCAGCCAAGCCACTCCAGTTGTCGGCGACCCAAGGCGCAAGTACAACTGCCCTCTGAGCATCTCCCACATCGCCAGTACCACCCATCGCGCCTGACAACCCAACAGCACCGAGCGTACCATTCGGCGGTGCGTTGCGCATCGCAGTTTCCTTTGCAAGCGTACTGGCGAACGCATCACCTCCAGCAGCGTCAGCGAGCTCTGTCCAACCAGTATGTTTCCAGGGGGCAAGCATGACACTGCGACGAGCTTCATCTAACTCTTGCTCCTCACCACCTAGACTGACTGAGATGGCTTCGACAACCTTTTCCACGCGTGCCAACTGCTCGTCGCTGAGCTCCTTGTTCGTGCGCAGTCGGTCTAGATCGTCTTTGATGGCTTCCATGGTTTCCAAGTCATTGTCGAGTACTGTCATGGCGCCAATGAGGGTCAGCAAGCCAACATGGCCTTCGTGCTTCTCAATGGCGGTAAAGAGCTGGTCGCGAGCCACTTGCTTCTCGTTCTCCCCGCCCTTGGCCCAAAGAACTTCTGCAAGGATGCAGATGATGTCTGGGTTGGCCCCAGTTGCCTCGAGCGATGTTCGGAAGTAGGGTATCGCGGCGTCGAATGAGCCACTAAAGTAGTGTGCTAGACCAGCCGTGAGACGAGCTGATAGCTTAGTCTTCGAGATCTGGTCCCCGGACAATGCGGACTGTTTGGTATCGCTGTCCAGTTCAGAGAGCAGATCAAGTGCTGTCTCGGCTTCTTCAACAGCCGATTTGAAGGACTCGATAGCGAGAAGGTTGCGGGCCAGGTCTGTCTTGGCTCGTGCAACCCGAGCCAGGGACGCCAGCGATTCTGATTTCTCATACTCTTGCTCAACTGTCTCGTTCACAGCTTGCAGAGCTACTACGGCAGCGTCGTAGTTGCCAATACGCTCTAAGAACAACGCCGCTAGATGCTTGTGCGGAATGTCGTAGGGTGCTTGTATGTTGAGCTGTTGGAGCGCGAACAGAGGTTGTATGAGGTTCGTGATGTTGCTGGATGACGAAGGCGAAGACACAAGGAAGTCGAAAGCCGAGACGGCGTACTGACGTTTAGTCAAAAGCAATGACGACTCTGAAAGCTCGAATGCGTGAGTGAAGTGAGAGAGCGCCTCGTTGGAATCTCCGGTGAGCAATGCGATGATGCCTTCGCCGACCCATGCTAATGAGTAGTCGGGGTCTTGCGATTGTGCCCTTGAGAAGGCGGTGTGCGCAAGTTCGTGATCGTTTTGCAACAAATAAAGCGCTCCTAGGTTTGTCCAGGTGTGCACACTTCGTTCGTTGAGATGTAGGGAGCGAACAAAGGCATGCTGAGCGACCTTAGGACTTAGTGTAGTCGTGATGACACCAAGCGAGTTCCAGAACTCCGAGTTACCGGCTTCTAGTTCGATAGCACGCTTGAAACACTTCATGGCTGCTCGAAGGTATGTGGTGAGTTTCGACCCCTCAATGCCTTCCTGCTCTAAGCAGACGTGTGCTCTGTACTCTGTCCAGCCTAGGTTGTACCACGCTACAGCCTGTGCGTGTATGTCATGCGCACAACTGGAAACTGCTCGTTTTTGTGCAAGTATTGAGGCTTTAAGCACCTTGGTAAGGGTATCGTCCTTGTCTGCGGAAAGTGCAGCCAGCGTATCCTGTCCAAGCCCATCGATATCCTTGTGTTCATCAAAATCGATGTTCATATCCGACTCGCTGCGCAGCACCTTCTCGATCAGCTCCACGGGAAACTGCTTGAGTTTATCTTGGACCCAAGTGAACAAACTGCATGCATCGCCAACAGCTTTCCATAGGTTGAAAGCATCCGGCTTGTACTCGGTAATCGACATTGCAACTTCGATACCGCGGGTCGCGCTATCGGCAGCCTCGCCGAAGAAACCGGTCTCAACGCAGTGCCACCCCTTCTCTACGAGAGTCTGCAGGAGTGCTATCGAGACACCAAACTCTTTCGGCCGAGACGCTAGTACAGCTTCGTAGCCTGCAAGAGCTTCATTGAACTCACTCAACTCGCGGTTGACGTTGGCGAGCATGTACTTGGTGAACCACCCCTCTTGGTCAGACCTCTTCAAAACAACACCATCTGTCGGATTTTCCGCGTAATTGAACGCGCGTGATGCTGAGTTATATCGACCAGAGTTGTGGTAGCTCTCTCCGAGACCAACGTAGGAGTAGTAGTCATCCGGACTAATGCGTAGTGCGGATAAGAAGGACACGATACTCTTTTGATACTCTTGCTTGTTCATTTGGACGACACCAAGTGCAGAGAACGGCCAGCTGACGCCTTTCCGTTTCGATCCTGGTGTCTGTCGGGCTTTCCCGGAGTCTACCACTCGCTGGGACACGACCTCGACAATGTCCCACTCGCCTTGATTGGCGAAAAGGCGAGCAAGGCGCTCGGCTGCGACGACTTCAGAAGGTGATAGCTCGAAGGCTTTTTGGAAGCACTGCCGTGCTCGTCTGCGGTCCTTATTGTAATCTTCGTAGAAGATGCCAAGCAGAGTATATGCAGGCGCATAGTTCGGGTTTGCTTTGATCGCTGCGAGCAGCTTCGCATACGTTCCTTGGCGGTCCTTCCTCGCTTGCTTTGACGGATCGAGCTCCCATATACATACACCTATTCTATAAAGTGTCTGTGCGCGGAGCTCGCGGCCACGTTGCTTGGAGGCATCGAGCTGCGGGTAATCGAGGTACTCTTGGAGCCTTTCAAAACCGGTCTTGTAGTCACCGGCAAGTGCTTGACACCAGGCTGATTCTGCACCTATGCGACCATTTGAGGGATCTTGCTTTAGTGCCTTCTCAAGGAATTGGAAGGCTTGCTCATATTCCTCTTCTTCTTCTAGGACCAGTCCGATGCCGATGAGAGCAGAGGTGAACTGTGGCTTGCGTTTCAAGATGGATTCGAAGATGCCCTTGGCTTCCAGATGATTCCTCGGGGCTTGATAGTAGACTAAAGCAGTAGCAAGCGTACTACTCAAAGCGTCGCGAGTTCTCTGAAGTGATAAGTCGGTCTTCTTTGCCTCCGCAGCAGCATATTTCAAGCCTTTCCTTGTGCTCTCGACCGCGCTTTCGTACTCCTCCAAGGACAGGTAGTAGTCTCCGAGTAAGCAATGTGCAAGCGGCGATCTTCCAGCCTCGGTAATTCCTTCAGTCATCAACACCAGACAGTCCTCCTGTGAGACTGGAACATCTTGAGTAAGAGCTACCCCACCCTCGCTCAGGTCAGGTCCTTCTCTTGAGTCGCCTTCTTCCACAAGCGGGTATCTTGATATACCGCTACTCAACCAGCCTGTGATGACTTTCGATAGGCCCTCGTTGGGAAATAGCTCAACGAACTGCCGCAACGTCGATATGTCGAGATCCAGCAGGTCGTGCGCACTGTCCGCGTGTGACGCCATGACAGCAATCCGAATTTTGGAACCCAGCCAATGCAATGCAGAACGCCGATAGATGCTATAAAGAAAGGCAGTCAAATCACCCGGGTCGTCTGAGGGGATTTATCGTGAAGAGTAGCGGCAAGTGAGTTGCAGAGTGGTTGACGTTGATGTTCGTGTTTTGGTAAGGCTGAAGCCCAGGATCGACGCTAGCATGCCGTGCGTCATTGCCTGCTCTTTCGACGCTGCGAGCCCCACACCAAAGCTCCAATTCACTCCTCATGGCACCTTCATAACACAAGTAACGCCGTACGGACGGCTACTCCCCAAACTATCGCTACCCAAATCAACGACATGTCTACGAAAACTGCGCTGAAGGCTGCGAAGGCGGCGATTGGCGCAAAGGATTGGGAGGAAGCGAAGAACCAAGCGACAGCAGTGCTGGAGAAGGAGCCCCAAAACTACTTCGCCTACCTGTTCCTTGGACGCGCCAACGACGGCCTGAGCAGATTCGACGAAGCGGAGAAAGCCTACTATGACGCGACCAAGCTCAAGCCTGAAGACCCACAGGCATGGCTCGGGCTAAGGGGCATGTACGAAGGTCTCAAGGGCGCGAAGGTTGACGAGAACATTGACGTCGGACTGGAACTAGCACAGATATATATGAACTTGTATGTCTCGTATATAAAGCTAGGGAGACTACAATGCTAACAAGAACAGGGACGACGCGCACAAGTCCCAATCCGCCATCGATAAGCTCGTAGATCACGCCCGCGCCCATGGCACCAAGACTCAATATGCACGCGCACTCAGTACCCAGCTGCCGTCCTCTCCCGTATACTCTTACCTCGAAGGTCGTCTGCCAGACCCGTCAAAAACGTACACGCGCATAGCCGAGATCCACGAGACACAGGAGGCTTCCACAATCAAGCGGCTCATAGAAGAGAGACGACTTCGCATCGGCGCGACACTGGAGGGTACCACAGCCTCTGTTAAGAACGAGATATACGCTACTAGCCCGCTAGAAGGGATATACGAGGAGATCATCAACTGGACGGGCGATGACGAGCTGAGACGGGAATACGAGGAGAAGCTGCTGGCTAGAGCGTACGATACCTTGATGGTGCTGCCATCAGGAGAGAAGGCGGAGAAGAGGGAGAAAGTCATGAAGCTGGCCCATGACATGGTTGTGATCAAGCACCCGAACCTCCTGGCTTGGACAATCGAGTTGGAGTGGCGGAGCGGTATGGAGGTCGAGGCATACTAGACGATTTCACGAGATTCTGCATAGCAAGGCGTTTGGCTGTTCGATGACCGTTTTGGGGGGAATTTGGCACATGAATGGGACCGAGTTCGGACCCCCTTCTGAAATATACGAACGTTTGCATTATGATAATCGTTGCGCAAAAATACTTCCAGACGCCAAACGCCTCCCATGCTACCCTTGTTCTCTACGCGTTCGCCGCGCCTACGACCCTCTTTCTCTCCTCTACACTGTAAAGACTTTCGCCCTGCTTGAGCGCATGAATGAGCATCGGCACACTGCTCGCCTTGAAGTCTGGTGCTTCACGCACTTTGTCGAGATCGTCAGCGAACTCAGCCGCGATTTTGCGCAGATAGAGGGCGCCGAAATCGTCTTGCGCCTGTTGACTAGCCTTTGACGCTGCCTGCTTTGGTGGCGGAGAAGCTGGTACATCCGTCATAGCGACATCTTCATCTGGCTGAGCCTCTGGAGCACTGCCTGTCTTGGACTTCTTCTTCTTCTTCTCTTTCTTAGCGGGTGCTGGTGCTGGTGCTGGCGCTGGCGAAACATCCTTTTTCGAGTCAGATCAGATCAGACCTGTTCAACGCGAAACCCATACCTTTGTTTCTTCTTCTACCGCGGCCACCTTTTGACTCTTTACACTTGAGACATCGCTGTCACTTTCGCTCGATGATGAGACTGTCCAGTTGTTAGCGTATACCTCGCGAACTGTTCAACAGCGCTCCTTGTACCCTCAGTTCTCGTCCTCCTCTTCTTCGACCGCTTCTTCTTTTCGATACCGCTTGCTCCTCTTTGCGGCGCCATTTCGTCGTGTTTGGTAGAGTAGGAAAAAGTTCGAGACGTGAATGTTGGTTATCGATAAGGCACGTGCGCCGCTAAGTCAAGGGTCTGCACGCTTACTAGTCCTCATCTCTCTCGGATCATAGCATCACGGCAGGAACCAGAATACGTCGAAGACAGAGGCCTGTCCATCGTGTATCTGATTTTCAAAGACTGATGATGTCGATGCTACGCTTGCCATGCCGCGAGATGCGATTACCTCTATCTGAACTAACCCGGGAACCCTATCATCCTTCAGCCTCTTCTACAAGATGCTCTCTATCGTAGCAAGCTCTTCCATGGCACTCTTTACGCTCGTCTTGATTGCGTCGCCAACTGGCAAGTACGGTCGCCTTGGGTTGAGCTTCCCCTCGGCGCCCTCGATGCCAGCAGCTTTCGCACTGTATTGACTAACAGCATGCTTCGTGGGAGCGATTCCAGCCTTGATCGGGCTCTCCGCGAGCGCCGCCTTGCGGTGAAGCTCCAAGGCTTCTTGAGTCTTCCCAGTAGTATACCACTCGTATACCTTTGAGCAGACCTTCGGGAAGACGTTACTGAATGCTGACACACATCCTGCACTTCCAACTGCGAGGCCAGCAACCAACCAATCCGCTTGGCCTGCATACGTAGAGAAGGTATCGCTTGGCAGCTCAGCACATAGCCTGGTTATCTTCGCGACGCTGCCACACGTCAACTTTACGCCGACAATCTTGCCAGGGTTCCGTTTTGCGAGCGCGGCGATCGTGACAGAATCAAGGTCCACCCCATTGCAGATACCCGGGAAGTTGTAGATGACGATAGGCAACTCGGATTTCTGCGCAACCTCATCGTAGAAAGCCATGACAACTTCTTTAGAAGCTGCTGGCCCATAGTACGCCGCTGGTAGCAAAAGTCCATGATTGGCTCCAGCCTCAATTGCGTCGCTAATGTTCTCCATGACTTGAGGTACAGAGAAGCCTGAGATGCCGACCATCAGAGGGTAGTCGGGGCCGACGGCCTCACGAGCACATTTCATCAACGCTCTCTTCTCATCGCGAGTGAGGAGAAATGCCTCAGCGTTAGAGCCAAGAACGACTAAACCAGTAAGACCCGATTTGGAGAGGTATTGGAAATACTGTTTCTGTGCGGCGAGATCCAAGGTTGCCGTGTCGCTTTCGGGAGTGTAGAAGGTTACTGCGGGGCACCATACGCCCGGAGCTGGAGGAGGAGCCATAGCGACTGTAATTGTTGATAATAGCTTCCAGGGAGGGTATGCTTTCTGGGTCGACCTTAGTGATCAAAGCGGGGAGGCGGGGTGCAGGTGGGGTAGTAAATCCGACAATGGAAACCTGCGAGCGTTTCTGTAATCAATACTTATTTCAATGTTCAGCAGCACATAGGTAGTAATATATGAGATCTGAGTTGGGAGGATGAAAGGTGGCCATGCACCATCGGAGTCATGCCGTGGGCCTTCAATAGCCGCTGCGCGGAACGTCCACGGGTTCCGACTGTCCCGATGCTCGCATTTGTTGAGCCTCATCTTGTGCCAATCTCCACTCTTCCAATAACGGCCTTCCAGATAGCGACCTTTCTCGTGAAATCCACCGAATGTATTTGGAGATGTATCACTATAAGAACGCCTTGGGAGTGGCCGGTCCACCCCTCACCTGCCCTTCGTAGGTTGGCCCCACTGCTTTCGGTGGTAGACTGGACCGCTGCTGCCAATCGTAGACCTATGAAACAACAGCATGTTTCTCGGCTCGATCATCGTCATGAATACAGCCATTCTAGATAAGAATGAGAAGAGTTTTCTGTCGGCATATTCGACTATCCAGGGCAGCATTACGATCGATCCTCTTGCTAAACTTGACTCAACCCTAGCATAGGCAGATCCTAGTGTCCAGGCTGATTGCATGTGTCTATTCCAATGAGAGAACCTCTTCTCAAGCGGGCAAGATGTCGTCTCCGAAAAGTCATTCATGTCCCCCGCCCCCGCGAAACCCATATCAGCAAAAAAGGACTCACGCGACACGATCAACAAGCTCCTGACTTGGCGAATGCAACGACAGTCACGATTACCAAACCCAGAAACAGGCTCCAGAAAATACTCATGGCTGTATCGAAGAAGTACAGAGGACGATTACACAACGAACTCGCACAAAGGCTTCATCAGGACGTTCGCAACGCCCGAAGCATCGACATGTCACGCACTATGGATGTTCCTACCCCTGTTCTCGTACCTACACAAGGGCAGAGTTCATCGTTCTTATTGATGCCTGCAGAGATTCGAAACGAAGTCTATCGGTATCTCCTGCCGGATGTTACCAGCCTGCGAGACGTTACCGGTCTTCTTAGCGCTTGCAAGCAGATCCGTCAAGAGTTTTCCAGCATGATAGTCGCCGAGAGCCAGTTAGTCATGAACGGCGCAGTACAGAAGAGCATCGATATGGTTCAAGTAGCTTTTTCCACTACTGAGATAGATACGGTCATCGGCACGCCCCAGATCCAGACGCACTCCCACCTTCATAACGTGAAAGTCCGTCTCGGAATGCGCGATACACGCTCGCTACCTGCCGACGCAAATGAACCACGCATATACTTCGACGACGTCTTCGCCTCGTTCCGCGAATTACTGAGCCTACATCTACCTTACGTTACCGTCAATGTCCCTGCCGCAATCGCCAAAGACGCCAGCATAGCCGATCCCGAACTTCGACACCGCCTGCTAGACGCATGCATCTTTACCTTCAGGGGATTGGAAGAGACTCCAGGGGTCACATTAAACGTGCAGCACGTTATATTCAAGATTCAGACTCACAAGTGGGATACCGCGGCTCTTATACACGAACCTGTTGTAGTGTTTGTAAGACGTATCAACGAACAGAAAGAGATCAAGTTTGATCTGCTTTGGAAGGACCCAAGGACGGAGAGCCAGCAAGACTCCACAGATATGGCAATGATGGCACAGTTGAAGGATATCGTGAGGAAGAGTCGAGCAGCTACTTTAAGTGATCATTAGTCGCCGGTACAGAGCTGCATACTACTGGCAAGCAACATTGGAGATGCGAACCTGTGGCTGATAACTCCTAATCGCTAGGATATTTCTGAGTACTTAGTACAAGGGAAGCGACGCATGTTCCATAATAATTACAAACAAATTGTCTTACCTTGGGTCGCCTAATGATATCCCCACAACGAGGACGAAACTGGTCTGGGCTCCTTCAACATGTGGATTGAAGAGTTTTTCTCGTTGCCATCTGACCAAATCTAAACGTATGGGTTCCAAGGCTGTCCCTTCGCGTGAGTATAATTTTATTCTTTGCCGCCAAAACTCCATCACCTACCACTGCCCCTCTTGCCCGCTTAAACTCTGAAACTAGGGAATATATCGACATGAGTAACGCGTCTAGCAAAACCGCGCGAGGAGACTCCGACCCGATGACCAGTGGGTACAGCAAGTCAGCTCCTACCCAGGACGGCACCAATCGCCTCCTCCAATTGCCAGGCGAGATACGCAACACGATCTACGAATACGCACTCACCGCCAACCATCACGAGCTATTCTATCGCGATTCGATCGACTTCGACACCATACCCCAGGCAGTGACCGAAGAGGTCAACAGTATAGACGATATCTGGCACGCAACACCCCAAGAATGTGTGGATGCGTATTACGAACATGAGTCCGCGCAGGGCGTAAAGCTGTGTTCTACCGCAGAATCTACATCCGAGTTCAACCAGCTGAAGTACGTGTGCAAGCAACTCTACAAAGAGACCAAGCACTTGTCACTGTTATACAACGATATCGTATTCGCCCAAGACAACGTATGCGCTCAAAACGCTACCCATCAGTTCATCCGCTTCGTGCGCCAACGCGACAAGTCTTGGACTTCTCAAGTCAAAACTGTGGAAATTCGACCATTAGTTCGCTCCAAAGATGAACGAGTGGATGTCGGAGGCCTCATCGTGAAAGGGCACTTCGATGAGTTGCGCATTACGTTAGCCGACCCCTGCCATAAGCTAAATCTCCTGGCCGACTACTGCATCGAAAATCCCAGGGTGCATGTCCGATTCCGTTTATTGGCATATGGACCATTGTGTCTTATGTATCATGAGGCAGCGCTTTTTCAACGTCGACTTCCCTCAGTCTTCTATGGAAATGGGACTTGCGTACCTTTTGGCAACCATCTGCGTGTTGTCAACGACCATTGCAAGACTCTAGCTGTTCGGCTGAGCCAATGTCGCAATTTTCGGTTGTTCCTTACCAAAGAGGAAGCGTTTGACGAGCAAAAACTTAGGAAGTGTATGGTAGAACATAAGTTCTTTCGCAAACACATCTTACCGCTACGTGATGGGGGATTGCAGGAATGCATCGAGGGTAGGAGGAGTATCTTTCTTGAGGGGGTGTGATTACAGGTAGTCTCGGAGAGGGTGAACGCGATGTATTATGAACAGCAGGATATCCGCGTTTAGCACAAGGCATCTGCTCGTTCAAATACGATTCTTTCATTCGAAGATTACCAAAATACATCCTTAAATCTTAATACCCTCCAAAATCGGCTTCGCCTCCTCACTCTGCCACCACCCATCCTTGCCACCAGGGAAGCTAAACCGATCCATACTCTCAGGCTTCATCTCAACCGAGTAACCAGGATCCATAGGAGTAACATAGTAACCGTTCTCAATCCTGGACGGGTGGAAAAAGTGCTCATGCAGATGGTCAACGTACTCCAACACCGACTTCTTCCCCGACACAACAACGTAGTCGATGGTGGAAAGATGCTGTGTGTACTCTGGTAGACCGACACCGCCCGAGTGCGGTACGATGGGGATGTTGAACTTGGCGGCCATGAGGAGCACGGCAATGACTTCGTTGACACCGCCGAGACGGCAGGCGTCGATTTGGCAAATGTCGATGGCTCCTGAGGCGAGGAATTGCTTGAACATGACGCGGTTTTGGCACATTTCTCCTGTTGCGACGCCGATGTTGTATGGCTTTAGGGCTT